AAATCCTTTTTGTATTGTTCCGGCTATTTTAAATAATATAAGAATACTATTTACTAGTTGTTCAATGAACGAGAACAATTGAATGTATTTAAGCGCGAAATTACAGAATATCTTTGTAAAATCTAAGAACCATACAGTAAATACTTCAGTTGTAAAATGTCAGTCAATCGTCTCAAACTTGAGTGTTCTTTCGTTTTCACACCAATCATTCACTGTTCTCATTCTCTTTTCTTTGATCTTCTTAACACTTTCGACTGGCGATATATACTACTTATATCAATAGACATCCGTAGCACACAGTTGTTCTACTCTCAATTGCTACTCGAACAACATTTTATAAATTATTGTCAATCTTTTTTAAAATATGAATTCCTTTATATCCAAAGTTTAAAATCATTATATTGATGAATTTTGTCTCTCATGACAAATTATTTCTCCTTACCAATGTGATCCGATTATTTAGTACACAAAATACTAATGTTACTAACATATTTAAACCAACATATCGAGATGGTGGAAAAGATTTGTAGCTCAGGTGGATGGTTTTGATGGAGTTTTGTTCGCTGAGCTCAGAGAACAAAACTCCATCAAAACCAATATATCATTTAATTATTAAAAGGAATAAATACATCTAAACAAATGGTTTCAAACATCAATATGATTACAGAAAACAAACGTCGAAGATAAAATAAATGAAACTATTTTATTTCTTCTTATCTTTACCTCATTGCCCGTTATTGATAGAATGAGCTAAAACATATGTGAATAATTAAAACGCCATGAGTTTTTAAATTTCAAGTTATATTTCCAATGTAATTGAGTGATGTTAGTTAAGAGGTCATAACATTGCATATTCTAATCTAGTAATATTGGTTATTCACAATGTAAATTAAGTTGAAATTTAAAACAGCTATATGAACGTAGAATATTCTTTTCAATAATTTCTCATTAGGTTCTACAATGATCTCATATCCAAATTAATAATCCATAAAAAATTGGCCAAATTTAAGGCAGTGTACATCATTTGTAATTTGTAATATGTGAATTAAGAATTGTTGCTTGTCATATAATAGAATCGTTAATGTTGGGGCTGACTAATATAAAGTGTTAACTTGAATCAGTTTATAAGTGAGATAAATGATCAGAATAAATATGATCAACATGGGGTAAGAGAGAGAGAGAGAGAGAGAGAACAATGTAATTACAAATCAGAAATTAGGTAATATGTAGAATAACATGAATTAGATCCGATATAGTAGATAAGGGGGGTACTGAATAAATTTCATTTCACTTATAAACTGATTCAAGTTAACACTTTATATTAGTCAGCCCCAACATTAACGATCTGATTTGATTTTATATAACAAACAATAATTCTTAATTCACATATTACAATTTCCAAATAATGTACTCTGCCTTAAATCTGGCCAATTTTATGGATTATTAATTTGGATATGAGATCATTGTAGAACCTAATGAGAAATTATTGAAAAGAATATTCTTCGTTCATGCAATTGTGTTTCAATATAATGGGAATTGAAATTTAGTCAAAATACAATAATTTAAATGTTAATAAATAGTAAGTGTTTATCTAATTTCTATCGTAAACCCATTAGATATAATGAATTCATTTATTTTATGTTAATTCTTTAGTTGATTAATTAGTTGATGTGGCTGAATTCATGAACTTTATAGTTGAGATTTATTGTTACTAACTGTGGGTTTTATATTAATTACTTCTTTAATAGTATGAGTTACTTTTATTAGATGTCTTTTATAACAAAAGTAAACATCCCTTTTATAAATGTTGGGTAATTAAAGTTAGTCGACAGAAAACTCTAGACCTAAGTTTCATCATTTTGAAATTGATCCACAAAGCATACCTGTAATCTTGATGGAGTTGATGCTCCACAGTGAATTTAAACTAACATTAAGCAAATTCTTACTCGGAGAAGGTTAGTTCTAACTATCTCACACTTTAACATGGTGCATATAATAGTTGAATCACTTACAATATTGACCACATTGTAACCGGATCAATAGCGATATTGGTTGCCACTCAGTGATAAATCAATTTTTTTAACTTCTTGTCCTTATTTTTTTAATATATGGAGATATTTTCGTTCTGAATGACAAACAGAAGTGATTTCGGTCAATTCCCTTATGATGTTAGTGTTGTACAACTAATAACATACTACATTTAACTAAATTATCTTAGTTGCTCTATTTTTTCTAACTCTGTATTGTGACTTATTAGTACATATTTACAACTGAACTGACGATTATACATTAACTAGGATTTATTTGGTCAGCAGTCTTAAGATAGATTGGTAGTTTAATTTTGCATGTATTCTAGGAAAATCCTGAACTTTGAAAATACATTTAGATATTGAATTTGGTCGAGTACTTATAAGCCTCTGGTTATCTCTTATATTTATAAAAAATCGTTCATTTTATTATATTGTGCTGAAGGGTAAAGTATAACTTCCAAATTTTATAAAAAGCTTGTTCACTAAGTAATCGGCTGTCAAACAGCTATCAGGATCCTCGTACGACTTTAGTTAGTTATTGCAGAAGTGGTTTAAAACATTTGATTTCTACAGAAAAATGGGTAACATTCACCATCCTTTACTGTAGCCTATACGTTTTATGATATTATTATATACTTGATTTTTGTCAGAATATGATTTAAATGATTAAATATATCTGTTGTTCCAAATGTTTGTGGAGATTGCTAGACTTTCATGGTTTAATTCACAAACTAATCTTCGTTGAGAAACTATGGAAAATCAAGGAAACTGGACGGCCAGCTCGTTTCATTATTGGACTTCTCAACAGTGCTCGTCCGCAAGGCCACCTGAGATCGAATACTGGACTTTCACATCTAACAGCGAGTGCCTAATTTTCATATCACAGTCCCAGCATCCTGTGGTTTAAGAACGAAGGTTTAATTGATTCGTGATATTATCTGACGATCTTGCAATCCCTCCTGTGGGTAACTGAGTTACACCCAACCTGGTTAGACTCAACTGGTAATAGCTACTCACTAGACCTCTACAGATTATCATCCCAACTTATTTATTGATGACCGATCCTTGATATATCCCATAAATGTATTTAATCTAAACCAACATCTTATTAATATCTTGATCACACCAAGTAAAATATCTAAATCAGAATTACATACCACCATCCTGCAAACAGATAAAATAAAGCCTATTAAGTTCAGTGTAAAAAATAAGTTAGACTAACTTATCTTAATTTGTATTTATTTAGATAGAAACCCCTTTCAAATATATTTAGTTACAATGTATAGCTTTATGTTATCTAATCAACTGAGTTGTGTTATTTCTGTCTGCTTTATCCGACTAAAGTTTATCCGGTAAAACAGTCAGAGTAAGCCATATGGTCTGTACGTATGTATATTTACATAATATTATCACTAACATGATCTTTAACATTTTTGTACACAAAAAAAGACATTTTAATAATCCTTAAATACCATGAAAAACTATTATTATGATCAATATATTTTTTAAAGACGAAGGTCTTGATAACCAAAACCAGACAAGAAAGAAACAAGAAATTAAATCAATTTCTAGAATCAGCTTCTTCTCTTTCATAACATCAATTTCTCAAATTATATAAATTTTATTAATCGTCACTGTAACTGGATATAAAGTAACATTCTGAATTCGTTTATTCTACCTGCCAATATTTAACAAGTTTAAAAACACCTTTTTGTATAACTTAACAATAAAATATTCTTTCAAACAATAAGTGTTGAAAGACTTTGATTTAGTTATTGTTACGAATTAACTGAAGTTGAAAATGGAAGTCAGTAAATTCCACATAGTTGTTCAGTGGTTAGATTGTCACTGTGAAACCTTAAGGTCCTGGTTTCGATCCTTAACCGAATAGTGGAGTTGCTTCTAGTTTTCAGAAACCCTAAATTTTTTCTTTATTTCTAAAATTATTATTGTGAAAAATATGTAAATGTCATAGCTTAACTTATGACTTGGCTTAATCTAGACAATCATTAGAAATCAGGAAGAACTAGATAGCTGGTTCATTCTACTTCGGGGTTCCACAGCAGTATGCGTTCATGACTCCACTCGACATTTAATCCTTAACCTGACTCATACTCGAAACGGTTGACTTCAACCGGTAATAGCTTCTGACTGAAACTCTGAGCACTACCTATTTAGGTTAATCACTAGTGAGCTCTAACCAGGAACAATCCGCGGTGAAAACAATGAAATTCAACAATCTCCACAAATCCTCTATAGCGGTAAGGATCAGTGCATTGTTTTTAGCTGAGAAACTTGTGGTTTCACATGTCTGTTGTTACTTCCCAATTTCTTTAGTATTTATTATTCAAACGTTTTTACTCAATTTTTAATAATCTTTGCAACACTAATATTGTCTTAGAATCAAACTATGGATGAAAGATACATTTAAAAACAAAAGTCACAGTAAATATCGTAAAAAGTAAAGAAGAACGAGATGTAAACTACTAAGAAAATATTGGGAAAAATACAATATTATTGCAAACAAAATACCAATACATTACCATCGTTGTGGTGACATGCCCCTAATTCTACTAATTTAATTAACCTACTTGCGCCTGTTAATCCTCGTCGAGGAGCACAGGCTGTCCACCAACACTCTCCATCCAACCCTGTCCTGGGCAATACTTTCCAGCTCTTTCCAGTTGTTATTCATCATTTTCATACCTGTTTCTATTTCCCGACATAATGTGTTCTTTGGCCTTCAAATTTTCCGCTTCCCTTCAAGGTAACAAGTTAGGTCTTGCCTCGTGATGCAGTTTGATGATTTGCATAATGTATGTCCTATCCATTTCCATCGTCTTTTCCTAATTTCTTCGTCAGCTGGAAACTGGTTCGTTCTCTCCCACAGGCTGGCTATTCAAATTAAATATACAACTAAATTAATTTTGAATTTGTACTACTTGCATTTTTTGGATTTCTTTTTCATAGGTCTTATCAAATGAAACTATTGGTTTACAAGTTTCAATGGATGTATTACAAGTAAGTAAAAATGAAAAAAAGGTTTATATTTTTGTATTAACATTAATGACTACGATTTACTCCTTCTTAGTTTGAAATTATTTTTAGATCACCATTAAAACAAAATAATCTCTTACCATCTATTGGTAAATGTGTATATTTCAAAGTTGACTTTCATGATGAACTGATGTCAGCTATTTTTGATTTCATACGAGACATCCAAAACGTTTACAAATATCAGTCTACAAAAAGAAGAAGTAAATTTTGAAGAATAATATGGTATTAAGATACTATGGTTATATCTAATGGTTAAATTTATTTTACAATCGGACAAACCATTTTCAAAATTGTCTAACTATTAAGAGTAGGTAATTGTAATCATACTGTGTTGTAAGCTTTATTTTCACTAATCAACATCATATTGACGATTTTCTGTATGCAATGGAATAAGCGATAACACTGTATATCTTCTAACTACACATTTATATTCATGTATAGATAGGTGAAATGCATTTCTTGATTGTTTGATGTCGTACTCTTCTCAGTCAGTATGATGTTTATTTTGATAAATAATTAAAATAATAATGAAAAATAATAAAAACAGCCGTCCAATGCTCCCAGGTTTTCTATGGTGATCTAACTTCAATGGACTCATGATCTCAACTATTGATATTAATACAATCTCCACAAAACCCATTCAGAAAATAATTATTAGTTCAGAAATTATTTATAAATCATTTGGAAAGATATGCTCTGTATTCATAAGACAATAATATAATTATTTTGTTTAAAGTCGGCGTCAGCAACAATATCCAACTTAAGTAGGAATTTTAAAAATTTCACCATTTAAATGGTAGCACAAATTCAGGGTATATATTTATATATTTATAGATGCTTGTAACTTTTCAATCACGGTTGTGGAAGTTCTCTAAGTTCCGTTTCTGTACAGTAGGACTGTCTTGATATTCGTATTAAAGATTCTGACTTTGGTGTTGGTTGACAGTTGTTTTGAGTTCAACATGTTCTACAATTGTAGGAATGCAGTCCTTGCTTTTCCAGTCATTTTATTTACGTCTGCATCTGATCCTCTTTGTTCATCAATGATGCTGTTTTGATACGTGAACGTTTCCACCTCTTCCAGAGTTTGTTCATCAAATGTGGTTGTGCAGATGATCTATGTGTAGCATTTGCGGATCTTGCTTTTTCCCATATGTATATCGAAGCCTACTAATGCATAGGCTGCTGCTACACTAATTTTCTTCATCTGCGTTTGTTCGTGTGTATAAGATGGAAGAGTCAGGTCATCTACGAAGTTCAAATCTTATTACTGATTCCAAGCTGTTGATTGTATCCCGTGTTTACCCTCAAATGTCAGGGTCTTCATAAACCACAAGAAGAAAGAGGAAGGAGAGCATTCAGCCTTCACTGTCTCAGGTCCTCAGTTAGAATGCATCTGGCGGGTGTCCTCCATGCATACATTTGTAGTATAGTTCGTCGTATGAATTCCGTATGATATCGACGATCTTCTCGGGTAAACCATAGTGTCGAAGAAGTTTCTATAAAATTCTCCTATCCACACTATCGAATGCTTTCTCATAGTCAATGGAGTTGATGTGTAGAAATGAATTTCATTACAGAGCGTCGCAATTTGATCTGTTCATGACCGATCCTTACGGAATCCAAACTGTTGGTCTCGAAGTAAGACGTTTACTGAGTCTTCCATCCAGTTCAGCAACACTCTGTTAAAAACCTCTCCTTGTACTGACAGTAATTTAATTCCTCTGTAGTTCTCACATTTGTCCAGATCTCCTTTCTTTCGCATCTTGATGAGGTGTTTTTCTTTCCAGTCCGTCGGGACTTGTTCTTCCTCCCAAACTTTCCAGAATAGGACGTGGCTCATCCTCGCAGTTAGATCCTTTCCAGCTGGTATATTGTCAAGTTCTACTGCTTCTCCACTCTTGATTTATATGATGGCCATTCTGATTTCTCCTATCGTTGGTGAAGTGACATCTACAGGAAAGCCTGTAGGTCCTGATTTGATATCCAGTGGATTCAGTAGAGCTGGCCTATTCAACAGTTTCTCAAAATGTTCTACCTATCTTCTCCTACGTTCTTGAGTTTTAGTGATTAGATTGCCTTCTTTGTACTTGACCAGTCTCTCCAGCTTACTATATTTCCCTGCTAGTATCGTTGTTGTATCACATAGCTGTCACATATTTCCCTCTTTTGCAGCTTTTTCCGCCGTTACTGCTAGGTCTTTGATGTATTTCCTCTTGTCAGATCCAATGTTCCTCTCCACTTTCTTGCTTGCTTTTGTGTATTCTCTCTATATCTTGGCTTTTTCTGCTCTTGTTCGACTGTTGTTGATTGTTGTCCTCTCGTTCTTCCTTTCTTGAATCCTGCTCAGGTTATCGATGGAAAATAGGAGGACCTACAACCATTTTGTTGAACGCGCATAAATCTACAAATCTCTCGCCATTCTCGTTCCTTTCTCACAGTTCATGCCGTTCCATGATATCTTCATATTCGGTGTTGTCCATTCTGACTTTGGCGTTCGGGACTCCCATTAAGATGGTCAGGTCATTTCCCAAGCACTTTGCTACGATCGATTGCAGCCTCTCATGAAGCTGAACTTTATCATCTTCATCTCTATCATTAGTTGGTGCATAGCACTGGATAAAATTAGTCATAATCTCTCCGTCTTTGTTTTGAAGGATGCTTTGATTTTTCTGGATCCATTAGATTCCCATCTTGTAAGTGCTTTTAGTGCTAGTTTGGACAGCATCAGTGAAATTGCATGTATGTGTGAAGCATTTTCTTCTTCGTGATCAGAGTGCAATAGCATTTCTCTCAAATCTGAGCTTTTTAGTCTGAATTCACTTTTAATTGTTTGTTTGGAAGTTCCCACTGGTGTTGACGACTGCAATAGATCAGTCTCTTATTGGCACATGTGTATCTTGTGCTGATTGCCTCGATAGTGCCCTAAATTACAAGCACTATAAGCAAAGATGGATGGTGGCTAGCACTGGAATCTAGGATGCACGCTTCGTCCTGTCTGAGACCCGTCAGTTGGATGAACCTGCATCCCAGTGTTGGTGTTCACTCCGGGACTCGAACCAGGTGCCACATGTTTCAATTACTATCAGGTTATATACTAAGCTACCGAGTGCTGATAGCCACTAGCTTGTAAAACAGGGTGAAATTTAAATTCATTTTTTATTGTTTGATTGTATCTTCTCATCAACTCTGCAATGCAAATGCATCTAACTGACGAGTCTCTAACGAGACGAGACGCGCCTCATGGGTTTCATCGCTAGTCATCATCCATCTTATCTATCTAGTTTGTTTTCACTGAGTTTACTTATTCCGAGTTCAGCCAACTTGTATCTCCTCATTTCCACATCAATTTGATTAATCCTCCCGGTCTCTCACATTGTTCGTACATTCCATGTACGTATGTTAATTGTTTCTCTGGTTGTTAGAAGAGGCATCGAACGAGTGACTTCTACAGATTCTCGGCTTTCATCACGGGGTGTCGTAATTCTTCTGAATGAAGACGTTTCAACTCGGAGGGCAGAGTCTAAATGGTTTAAATTGTTTATTATAGTTAGCTTTTTTTAAAAAGTTTTTTTCGGATGGGGTCTCTGACTCCATACTCGATTCTTCTTTATCCGAGCTTGAGACCGACAGTAATCCTGAAATGGCTACAAATGTTGTTATTCCTAATGTTTCAAAAATCTTCTTACCAACACGATTAGGCTTAAATGTCATATGGTTGTGTTTATTTGGATAAAATTACTCTTTTTTCTTGAAGTGGCGAACGAGGTGAAACATCAAATATTAAGTTTTATACTTACTTGAATATTACTATTATTTTGTTATTATAAATTAAAACAAATATCCCTGTAAAATATTGACAACTTTATTCACGTCTCTTTTTGTTTTTCTTCAATTTACTTTTCTCAAATGTTTACAGTCATTACAATTACATAATTTTTCATTAAAAGAACGGATACGTATTTTGGAACAATTATTATTACTATCTGTAATTGTTGGACGTTGGTTAATGCCTAGAGAAGGATTAACACGTGATCAACTATCTCAATTATTATTAATTAACATTGGTACAGCAGCAGATATATTGGAATTATTTGAAGCATTTAATGAACAAGAAGTTCGTAGAAATGATTTTCTACGCACTGTAATTTTATCATTATGGCAAGCTAGTTTATTACAATTTTGTTTCAATAAAACAGCACTTAAAACACAAAAGAATTACAATAATAGAAATTTATTATTGTCTAAATCAAATGAATTATCTTCATTTCAAAGTTCAATGGATGAAAAATCATTAAGTGATGGTGAAAGTCGATTTACTGCTAACAATAGTAATAATAATACCAATAGTAATGATAGTGATAACGTTGCATCAAATTTAAAAAATAAATCTCTAAGAAGGAATACATTAGCTTATTTAAAACAATGGTATTTAACGCGTAAAAATCAAAAACGAGAACCGGAAAATCCAGATCATGACAATTGCATTATTACCAATGTTGAATGTGGTTCCACATTAAAAATCCCCGAATCAGACGTACAGATACAACAACAACAACAGTCAGCTCAATTACTTGTTCCACCTTTAACATTATCATCATCACCATCATCATCATCAAAAATTGATGGTATACCAAAATCAGTATCACAAAATGATTTTATAGATAATTCTAACAATGTTAATTGTCCGTTAATTGGTGGTTGTCTTTTATTATGTCGTGAACGACCATGTTTATGTTGTGAAACTGAATTATGGGCTATTGGTATATCATTAATGTTACAAGATTTACCATTTCTTATATTAAGAATAACTTTAATAGTATATTATAATGTAAAAAGTTATTCAAATGTATTTTTCACTTGTAAAAATACTTTATTAATTTTATTACAAGTATTTCGTTCAATTGTTATATTATCTGAAGCTGGTAAATTTAATCCATTTTAATTATTTCAATGTTATTTGTATAAATCAATATACAATTATAGTTTATTGAATAATTTCATTAAAATTTTTTTGTTTAAATCAATAAAAAATAAACAATTGAACAAAGTCATGTGTAATCATTGAATAATTTGAAAAATGAATCATTTTTGGACTTTTTTGAAAAATAAAACAGAAAAAGAAAAACATTAGAGATAGAATATTGACACAATTAATGTCATTGCTGAAAAAAAGACACGGATGGATTTTTTGTAACATTATTATGTAATTGATTCAATATTTTAAATAAAAAGTTATGATTTACGCAAATTGTTTGTTTATTTTGTTTCTTTGTTTCATATATTCTTTTCAATATATTTAAGTCTTTTTGAAGAAAAAAGAAAATAACTGAAAAGAGGTTCCTATTTAAAATTGTTCGTCATATAATGAACAGAACATCGGTGAGGACAATCGAATTGTATTTAGCACACAATTACAGTTACTCGATAAAATAGAAAAAAACCATATAGCAAATCGTTAATTTGCAAAATATCAATCCATTATATCAACCTGGACTGTTCCTGTTGCAAACAACAATCCATTGTCTCACATTTCATTGCTCATTTGTTTCCTTACAAATTGCATTGTGTTCTCGCTCTTCCTTAGTTGATCTTCCCCCATCTTCTGATGCGGGACATTACGTTCTTGACGCGCGTCATATACCACTTACATCAATATAAGTAGCACGCACCACAGGTATATATATATATATATATATGTAGTGAACGAAGACTTGTTTAATGCAAAATTACCGAGTACTTTGGTAAAACTGTAAAAGTCATACATTAAATACTACATTTGCAAATCTTTTATCTAATGTTCTTTACATCATTCATGATTCTTTCGACTCTAACTTCTTTAGTTCAATCTTCTTAATCTCCTCTTGAACAGGCATTCCATTTCTAACTGGTTTTCCATACTACTAATGTCGGTCGACATCAGTAGTATACACCATATATATAATCCATTTTCTCATATTATATCATTTTATGATGATATATTTTATACAGAGTAATTTAGTCTTCATAAGAATTATATTAGTAGTACCTAAATTACAACACTCAAATGAAAAGCATCATTTATTTTACAATAAAAATCACATCAACTGATTATCTTATGAGTTAGGATTAAAAATGAATTTAAAATATAATCACTAAATAAGAAATAATTATATACCCAATAATGTACAAGTCAGTTAACAAGAAGCCTCAAGATTAGGCGTTTTTACAAATTTATTTAGTGATACAATTACTTTTATTGCCGAAGAAGTGAAGACAACATTCATCATGTGTTCACTGGTGACTGACTTCAAGATGGATTTTCTGGAGTTACAGTGAGAAGTTGTGACCAGTGGAGTTCAATCCATGTCACATAGAGACCGGTGTCTACTTCACACAATGGATGAATGGTTGTGTGCGATACATGGATCGATTGAAGTCTGCCGGTTCAGTGGTCTAGAGGTTAAGCATTCGCGCCCGGGATCGCAGGCCCTGGGTTCGAGTTCCGCATGCGTGATCATGACTAAGCACTGCTGAAGAGTCCCACACTAGTTAAGAACGGCCGCCCAGTGATTTCAGTTTTCCTATGGTGTCCTGCCTTACGTAGACTCATGAATTCAACTATTAAAAAATTACTACAATCTACTCAAATCCGCATTCTGATTAGAATGATAATTTTTTAATAGTTACATTTCTACAACAACCTTGCCTTTATCGTCTACCATTGTCTTTCCAGCTAGCAGTGTACGCTGTAAAATATTAATCTTCCAACAAGCACTAATGACTTTCAATACAAAATAAGCTATTATGACTGCAATACGTTTATCGAGAATATAAAAAGATATATTTGTGGTCTGATTTATCCATATTTCCTTCTTGGGTTTTTAAATATTTCACATGTTATTTTCCAATCTACCTTTTTTGTTTGTATAGTTACCTTATTGTTCACAAATCAATTTTGAAGTACTGTTCCTTACTCTATAATTGTGCAACTTAATTAAAACATCTATCATACCACTTGTTTTATCATAGAAATATTGAATGGTTAATTGTGCGTATAATACAGTAGATCTAACAGTATTTTCTCTCCATTGACTGGTTGCAGATCAACCAGGTCAGTTGTGAGGTAGTAACTCACTGATGACAATGGTGGATGTGTCGCTCAATTTCGTGGATTAGTTGAAGTTAGACATTAACACCGTTGGATGCCGGCTCAGTGGTCTAGTTGGTTAAGCGCCTGGAGCGAGACTGATCGGTCCTAGGTTCGGATCTCGCGGGGAGGGGTCGTGGATGCGCACTGCTGAGGAGTTCCGCAACAGGACGAAACGACTGTCCAGTGCTTTCAGGTTTTCCATGGTGGTCTAGTTTCAATTGACTCATGATCTCAAGTGTTGAAATAAATACACATTAAAGATAAATTAGGTTTCCTTGTTATTCTATTTGGATATATTATTTGAACTATATCAATTTCTCTATGGTTCTTTTATTATTATTATTATTTACTTGAACACATACATATTGGTACAACAGGGCACCAAATATATATGCGTCACACCATATTTGTCTATGTGGGCTGTGATACTGCCCGGGTGCCCAGACCGAAGTAGGTGGTTTTCTTAGGGGGCCACACCCCGAGCCTTTGACCTAAAGGTCTGATCCACAAGGTAATGGAGCATCGTAGGGAGATGCAGTCCCATGGTAGCCGGTGACCAGTGATTGGTTCTTACGCCATTTGTTCCTGCAGGATACTGGAGCCCATGTGCACCGTTGGTTTGGAATCCACTTAAAGCGCCGGACATTCGCTTTTCGTCCTCTCACTTAAGTAAACAACACCCCCCCCACGAGAAGGCAGTGAATAGGACTTCGCTGGCAGAGGCTATATACGCGTGGCCATGTGAGGGCATTTTGAGAGGGAGGGCGGTCCCACCACACTCTCGGCCGTACCAGGACATTTGGGGGCTCTCCATGGTTCTATTTAACTTCGAGGTTCATAAGTCGCAAATAGCTTCCTTATGAGAGGTTAAAATATGATATTTTCCAAATTTTCTGTATATTTCAATATAATAACTGCAGATTTTTATACATCTATCATTTTGTATGAATGTTACCATTAGTTTTATTAAGCCATCATGTAAAACTTGCTAAACATATTCAAGGATTATAAATATAGTTGAAAAAACCTTAAGTAAACAAGTTAATATTAAAGTACTGGCCATTTGTCTGCAGTCAATTTTATGATGAATGTAGTCTTCTTCTGTATGGTACAGTTTCTGATCTTACTTATTCACCCCTCTTACCCTCCAACAGAGCATAGGTCGCCGACCAACATTCTCCAACATAATTTTAAGAATAATACAATTATATTTCCTATGATGTAATATTAATAGTGTAATTATTAAAAATCGTATGATGATTTAACTTTAATCGCATGCATAATATAATCAGAAATATTCCTTTTTGTTATGGGATATGACACAAAGTTTTGTTAATAAAATACTAAAAAAACCTGTTATAACAGTAAGCCGACATTGAAATTCAAAACATCATATATTCCACTTACGTATATGTTTTATTATGCCATATTTCCTAGAGCATTTTCTAAGAAAACAGTATATGACATAAGAATAAAGCAGAATAATATGAATTCATTATATTTCATGGTTTTTTATCAGCCGCTTATAAACAAACATTCATTAAAGAGTCAATCACAATGGCGTCTGTGTGTACACTCTTTGTCTTACCTTAAACCATGAGATTAAAATTACCTTATAACTTTTTTTCTACGAACTAGTTTTTTCTTCCTGTATTATATCCTTATACACAATCTTTCTTTTAGACATTGTTACCATTGAAGTGACTAATTCTATGAATTTTGTGTTCATGTTGTTGTGCTAATGAGGTATAACAGCTTTTAGCGATGCATATATGTGCCTTATCCTACGTTTTAGTTAACTGACTGACTGAACATTGAGGTATGATATGGTGTGACGTAGATGGTATTGATGACGAAAAGAATTACAATAACAGAGATCATCAATAATTATATATATATATATGCAAGTACAGGTGTGAAGTCGTTTGAAAATGGAATTTAAAAACAAAGAGGGAGTGAGGCAGTAATTACAAAAGGTCCGGAAATATATAAGACAAATCATGAGATTAATTGTAGGAGTTGTAAAGGGTTTACATACAATCTGTGTAGGGCTGTGAAGAGTGCTGATTTTCCTTCAATCCATGAACCGATCAGCAGTAGATCACCACTCAAAACCGGAAACTACTGGACGGCAATGGATACATACCGCTGAAAAGTTTGCGAATAAGACCAAACGGCCATTCAGTGCTTTCAGGTTTTTATTGGTGGTTAAACAATGATTGGTTCATGGTTTAAGTGAAGTTTACTTGAGATTCCAATCACTCGAAGATAAATAAAAATGATTTGGACAATTGATGTGATGACTGCCTAGAACTGAAGGCTTCTGTAATGAATATACGGGATTTGAAGAATCTACAACAGCTGAGAGAACTGAGTGAATGAAAAAGAAATTGATGAATGAAAGGATGATTTCAATGTACATAGAATAAGAATTAGTTTGGCGAAGACCACACAACAAAATAAATATTAATATAATACTAAACATAATAACAAAAATAATAATAATTGCAGATAAAATTAGTCAAAGCTGTAAACTTACCAAGGTAGTGATAAGTTTATTACTGTCTGTTTCTGAACATATAAATTAGGTTCGAGTTTCTTTATTTCTACTGCTTCGGGAAAACTGAGGAGCATTATACTCTTGTCTGTCGATAATTTTGAAGGATACGGAATGTCGATGATATATCTGGTATAAATTAAATGCTGAGTTACTGCATCATTTAGGGGCGTTGGGCCTCTTAGTCTTTGAAACGTCCTCGAAAGTGCGAACATGTACTCTTCTCACTATTCTTACAATATATGTGTTTTGTACG